TGTGCTTGTTATCCTCTGCTCAAGCCTTACTCTAGCCATAAACTTGAACCTAAAAACCACTCAATGTGTGTTCATTGGTTATCTGTTTGATTACAAAGGTTATCTATGTCATGATCCTCAAACCAACAGAATTTATACTTCTCGTTATGTTATTTTGATGAAACAACTTTTTTGTATGCTAAATCTTCCTCTTCTTCTTCTTATATTCCTCCAAACCCTAGTCATTGGTTTCTTCTCTCTGATTCTTCTTTTCCTCACTCTCAGTTCTCTAAATTGGGTTCTCCTCCATCTATTTTCTCCGCAGCATCTCCTGAGTTACTTTCTCTTCTTTTTTCTCAACCACCAATTCCTATATCTTCTGCTACTAAATCTGCAATTTCTACTTAAACTATCTCCTCTGACATATCTCCTCATGTTCCTCCTAGGTATGACCCTTTTGTTTCTTCTACAAATTCCATTCCCTCAGTTCTGCCCCCACCTCTTTCCACTCATCCTATGCAAACCAGAGCTAAATCTGGTATTTTTAAGCCTAAAGCCTATCTTTCTCCTACTTCAATTTTTGAATCTACCTCATTTACATCTGTTTCTCAATTTCTTGAGTGGAGGCAAGCTATGTCATAAAAGCTCTCTGCTTTACATCATCAAGGAACATGGATTCTGGTTCCTCCATCCAATAATTCTCCCATTGGTTGTAAATGGGTTTTCAAAATTAAACAAAACTCTGATGGCACAATATCTAGGTATAGAGCTAGATTGGTTGCCAAGGGGTTTCATCAAGAACATGATGTTGATTATCATGAAACTTTCAGCCTAGTGGTTAAACATGCTACAGTTAAGCTTGTTCTTGCTCTTGCTACTTAGTTCCATTGGTCCTTACACCAACTTGATGTCAAAAATACTTTTTTGTATGGGGCATTCATGAAAAGGTTTACATGACTCAACCCCCAGGGTTTCTTGATCCTCTAACTCCTCATTATGTCTGTAAGTTGCACAAATCTCTCTATGGTCTTAAACAAGCTCCTAGAGCTTGGTTTGAGAAATTTACTACTCATCTCACTACTTACTCCTTCACTGCCTCTCCTGTTGATCCTTCTCTTTTTCTTAGAACCATTAAAGGATCCATTACTTTTCTTTTGCTATATGTAGATGATATAATTATAATTGGTAATGATTCTACCTACATTTCTTCTCTTAAGATTAATCTTAATAATACTTTTGAGATGAAAGATCTTGGTTTCTTGCATTTCTTTCTTGGATTGGAAATTCAACCCACATCCATAGGGTTATTCATTGGTCAGCAATAGTACACCACTGATCTTCTTCAGAAAGCTAGAATGACTGATTGCAAACCCTGTAAGACTCCTTGTGCTACTTCTTCTAGACTTGGAAAAACAGATGGGTTTCCTCTAGTTGATCCTTCCTTTTACAGAAGCATTGTTGGTTCTCTACAGTATTTAACCTTTACCAAATCTGATATTACCTTTTTCGTTAATCATGTTTGTCAGTATATGAATTCTCCGACAGATGTTCACTTTGCAACAGTTAAGCGAATAATATGGTATCTCAAGGGAACTTCTCATTTTGGTCTTTCTTATAGGCCTAGTGTTCTTAATCTGTCAGCATTTATAAATGTTGATTGGGTAGGGGATCCCAATGACAAAAGGTCTATCATTGGATATATTCTATTTCTTGGATCTAATCCCATTCATTGGTCCACAAAGAAACAAAGTATTGTGTCTAGGTCATCCATTGAGCAGAGCCCTTACTCAAACCACCGTTGAACTTAAATGGTTGCAACTACTTCTATAAAGTTTGAAGATTACTCCATCTCACACTTACACTCCCACTCTTTGTTGTGACAATATTTTAGCATTGGCTCTTGCCTCTAATCCCGTGTTTCATGTCAGAACCAAGCATATAGAGATAGACTTTCATTTCATTTGAGAGAAGGTGGCAAATAAATCCCTAACTTTTCAATACATTTCCACTAAGGAACAACTAACTAATGTCTTCACCAAAGGATTGTCATCTGCTCGATTTCTAGTTCTTAGGGACAAACTAATGGCTGGTCCCCCACCATTAGTTTGAGGGGGTGTATTACACAATAACAGTGTTACACAAACATTTCTCTTATATTAGCTACTATCATGTGAAGGAATTCAATTCAGTTGCTGAAGCCATGAGCCAACTAGTCAATCTGTTAGTTAGTTAGTCATAGCTAACATTGTAACTAAGTTTGGATATAAATACTTGTATACTGAACTGAAAACATATATGAAAAAACCTTTGTTTCTCTTAGTCTCTCTGTGTCCATTCAAGATATCAAGAAATTTGGTCTGAATGTGTATGTCATTGTTTTGCCTGCGGAATATGGCTTCAGCCCCAATTTTTAATATAACAAAATTGGCAGAGGTTAACGGCAACAAGGATGAAACAACATTGACATCAACAATAGATCTGTCGCCAAATCTCAATATTCGTGTTCCTTGAAATATGGCCTATCGTGATGAGATTGAGTCAATACTCGATCATCAATTTATTACAACACGTTGAATAAGGTATTACAAATTTTTGGTGAGGTGGGAAAATCGCCCGAGTTCATTTTGAGTATGGCTGCAAAAAGCGGGTCTACAACACCTGCAACCTGAATTATTCGCCACATACGTTCATCAAAGCTTGCCAGAGTCAAGTTCTCTAGAGGGGGTGGCAATTGATGCAAATCCTGAAGCCGTTCCTAAGAAAATGCTAATTGCTCTGACTAAAACAAATTTTGCAGTGCTTTACGTTTGTTTTAGTCATGTGCTGGTTATGTTATTCCTAGTTTATTTCCTAGTCTTTTGCTTTGACTAAAACCAACCTTGAATGCTTGTACGACTACATATAGCCAAGTTTGAGAGTTCCACTTTACAGAGAGTCTGTGAATCCCCCTTTTCGTTGTCAACATGAGGTTGGTCTAGAGGGCTTTACATTAAAGACCTCTGAATATAAGATAATAAAAATTATTTTAATAATTAAGATTAATCTCAACTTGCATTTTAAAAGTAACTCGCATCTCAATTTGAACCCTCAAATTTTAAAAATATCAATTTATACGCTGAAAAATATAAATCATATCAATGTGCATATGAGATTAACTTTGTTCATTTTTCTATTACAAAAGTTTGGGTTAATTATAAATCATACCCTCCAAGTTTAAATATTTCATATTTATGATCTAAAAAAAATTTCACCCATTAATGGTCGTCAAATAACTCTCAGTTGTATCGTATCATAATATCTTCATGTCATGTTCGAGTCAATAAAAATATTTTTAAAATTTTTTAAAAAATTATAAAATACAAATTTTTTGTCTACAATACTCATTAAATAATTATTTTCTGTCTACAGTTAGACACAAATATTTTGATTGTCCGATCAAATTAAAGTTATATACGAATAACACAACTGTAGACAAAAAATAGTTATTTAACAAGTATTATAGATAAAAAATTGGTATTTTTTAATTTTTTAAAAATATAATAGTATTATATGAATTGTCGTAAATATGAAATACAAGGCACGAAGTAATTGACTTGACATGAAAATATAAAAAGTATTTTTATTAACTCGAACATGACATTAAAATGTTATGATATGATACAATTAAGAGCTATTTAACGAGCATTAATTGATGAAATTATTTTTTGAATAATAAATGGGAAATATTTAAATTTTGAGGGATGCAATTTATAATTAACCCAAATTTTTTTAACGATAATATAGATGACAGTTAGTCTCAAGTACACATAGTACATGGGCCGGGCTGAGCTTGGGTAGTGTAGGTCCAAGCCCTTGCTCAAGTGAGTTATTGAGCAGGCCGGGTCTGTCCAAACTTTGAGTAAGGGAAGGCTACCAGCAGCCCAACCCGCGAGTCTATTGGACGGCCTATGGGCAAGCCTTCTGGACAGACTTATTGGACGGGCTTGCTCACGGAATTTTATATATACAACTTCATTTAAAAATAATGAATATTTTTGTAATTTAATAATTATGATTATATTTTTGAATTAAAAGTAGAGTCAAAATGGATAAAAATATAATAATGAATAATTTTAATTTTAATTAGGGGATGAATTACATCCAATAGAATGAATACATCCCAACTAAGTTGACACATATTCACTTATTTATCTTTTACATTACTCTACCTTTTAAAATTTGTATACTTAATGTATGGAAAATAAAATAATATATTATTTATAATATCTAAATTTTTAAAAATTTAAATTTCGACATTGAGAGACTTATTTTAAAGTTTCAAATTTAATGGTCTAAAAGTATAATTTTTTTTCAAAGGGCGAGCTGAGCTGGGCTGGCGGGCTCTTGGACCGAGTTTTAACGGTGTTTTTTGGGTTGGCTAGTCCTCTTTTTAAAGATATTGAGCTCAGGCTTTGACAGACCAACTATCTATCAGATTTCGGGTCGGGTAATGGAACACGTGGGTAACTCGACCCATGAACACCCCTAGGTGCTTATTGATACATATTTATATCTTTTAGGGTGTAAATTATTATTTTTAAATTTTGAGGGTGCAAATTAATATTCGAATTATTTTTCAAGGTGCAAGTTAAAATTAACCTTAATAACTAACCAAACTCATGACTTTACTATCTTAGTAATCACCTAGGAAATTACGCACGAAATATTTTTATCACTAACTTACTAAAATAGTTTCCTAATAATTACTTATAATATTACATAAAAATATATTAAAAATATGTACATAATATTCTATCCCCCTTTAAAACAAATTTTATCCTCAAAATTTGATTTATCGTGCACAAAAGAAAGTGATTAACCCACATTCTGTTTCTTTGTAACAATCAACTTGATCCCTCTTTTCACAACTAATAAACATACAATAATCATGCATCGACTTCAAAGTGGCTGGACGTGCTCGTTGAAGATCAAGTACAATGGTATACTTGAGTCCACTTACAAAACGTCCTATTAATTGCTGTCTAGGCACCGTGCCGCCTTGTGGAAGTAATCTTGACAAAAGTGTACTACAATATTGAAAAGAGCTCATGATCTGCTTCAATATGGTAAAGTTCCCATGGACATCTTCAAATTGGATTGGACTGAATTGTTTTGGCAGCACTTCCATTACCAATAAAATCACCTCATTGTGATTCTTGGGCAGTGGATAATATGCTTGCACACCTTCCGGTAGACACTTGGCCTTATAATGAACATCGGGTTGTTGGAGTAAGAATTGCTCGGTATGAGAAACCACCATGGTGGGATCTTCCTTGCATTGTATCGAGAAAATTCCAACTTCGCCATTTTGAGGTTTATCAAACTAATTAATCCACCAGAGACGTAATGTGAGTCACCAATATTCCTACCATTTCCATTGCATTCAGTGGACCCTTCTCCTTGCTCATGGTAATGATCGCGGCTGATCATCAATTGATCAAAGCGAGTATTCACGGGGAGAAACATTCATCCATCTTTTTCATCATTTTCTCTTGTCCGATGACTAATGAGTAAACTTTCACTTCAAATCGACTAACTCAGACCTCCATGTCTAGTTTTGATATCAATTTTTATGTGCACATTTTTAGGAAAAACATAAATAAAACGAAAAACAAAATAGGGGAAGAAAAGACTTCCTTCAAGGGGGAGAACCTTCGATGGTTCAATTCGAGAAGAATCGAATCTCCAAAACTTTCTCAAGAAAGTTCAATAGAATATTCAAGATATCATTTCTATTGATAGGAAGACGTTTAAATGCAAGATAATAAAAACTACCTTAATAACTAACTTAACCTATAACTCCACTATCTTAGTAAGTAGTAACCACCTAGGAAACTACCTACAAAATACTTTTATCACTAACTCATTACTAAAATAAATTCTTAATAATTATTTCTAATAAGGTTAATTACAAGTTACACCTGCAAGATAGTTCGAATCTCAATTTATACCCTCAAAGATCAAAAATTTTAATTTTCACCCTCAAAGATAGACATTTGTATCAATGTGCACCCCTAAAGATAAAAAATCTCAAATTGCACTCTCAAAGATAGAAATTTGTATCAATGTGTACCTAATACTAAATTGATAAATTATATTTAGATTCTCTCATGCTTGTCACTTAATTATTTGGACCTCTTCACATTTAAACTATTACTCCTACATCTCATGACGTTTGTGCACGTGTAACACGTAACCCATTTTCATTGATATCTGTTAATAATCGTTAAAAATATACGATTTTATCCTAATAAAAAAATTATAATTTCATATTACCATTTATTTTGTGGATTCGATATACTATAAAATTCAAAACCGAGCTTACTAATTGAATTTCAAATAAAATAAAGGGGTCCAAATAATTAAGTGACAAACATGAAGGAATCTATGTATAATTTATTAATTTAGTTTTATGTGCACATTGATACAAAATTCTATCTTTGAGGGTACAAATTGAAATTTTTTTATCTTTGGGGGTACACATTGATATAAATTTTTATTTTTAAGAGTGCAAATTGAGATTTCTAATATTTGAGAGTACAAATTGAGATTCGAACAATCTTTTAAAGTGTAATTTACAATTAATCCTTTCTAATATTACATAAAAATATATTAAAAATATGTACGTAACATATCCCTAATTCTTACCTTTTCTTCTCTTGGCAAGCACTTCTCCCTCTCTCTCTCTCTCTCTCTCTCTCACCGTTATTTAGTCCCCTGGGGTTTTACACATCTAATAATTCTGACCCTTCACCCTCATAATATCTCTAATTGGTCAGTAAGAGATAAATAAAAGGAATGTAAAATATTCCTTTCTAATCATACTCATAATTCCATAACTAACACCCTAACCAAATAGGCAAGTCTAAAAATGTCCCCTCCTAATTGATTAATGCATTTGACAATTATTTGTTCACCTTTTTATTCTTAAATAAAAATATTAAATGCCAAAATACATACCTTATTTGGGTATTACAACACGCATTAAGAGATTTAAGTTGCTGCTTCACTAACACATGCGGGTTTTGGTGTAATGGTAGTGTTTTGATCCTAACATAATGTTCAATTTTTGGTATTACAGAGTATCTTCAGACATGAGACTATTGTTAGTTTGCATAGAATTATTTAAGATTCCAGGGGTGGAAAGCATAATTGATGCTCACTAATGGAACTGACCCTTTAATTTGTCTTATGAATTATTGTTATACACAGCTCCATGCCTATTTATAGTCCGAACTCTCAAGTAGCTGACCGAGTGAAAGGGTTCCTACTTCTAATGGCATGTACATTGCTAAATCAACTTGAAGCAATCTCTATGTGGCCTCCCCTATGGTTACTGGCATAAGCTTGTATGGTATCAGCAGGCAACTTCAAGGATGAGTTTCGTTCTCTAGATGGCACTGATGAGTAAACATAGCACGTATTACCCATCACTGGCTAGCTTACATGGAACAGTTAGGCAGTCATAATCATCTACTCTTTGGTTGCTCGTTCATTGCTAAAATTTGGAGTCATTGTTTGCAGAAATTCGGATTGACATCATCATCTATTACTTAGGCTCGATTCATTCAAAGAGCAGCTGAGAATTGGAGAGATAAATCAATCGTTTATCCATGGAAATAATTCATTATGCAGCAAAATCTCCACATTATATAATTGTGGCTGATGCTTGTGCACAGGATCACATCTCATAAGCTACTAATAGTCTGATATAGACGGTTTGAAAATTCATGGAAATGATCATAGGAGTTTTAGCCTCATTCCTCCATGCAATTCACAGACAAGATCAATAAGATTTAGGCAAATTACACTTCGATCATCCCAACTATGACCTTTTTTTACATTATCCCCACAATTATTATGCTTTTTACATTACACCCAGAAACTATGAGATCAGTGTCATAACGCCCCCAATTAGTAACATCCGTCACAAATTTAATCAAAAGTATTTTCATTTTGTCTAATGAGCTATGTAATATTTTTTTGTTTAACTTTTTGAGCTGACACATTTGCAATTTCCTTCCAAAAAAGATAATGGGCATTTGTGTTTGGGGTAATGTGGAATCATTCAAGTAGCTGAGGGAGCAATGCGCAATGTTCAATAGTTCATGAGGAAAAGTGAAATCAAGTTCATAATTAAGGGGGTCAAAATATAATTTGTCTATAAGATTTCTGGTCTTAAATTTCCCTAGTTGCCTTCTTCGTGTTCATGTAAGTTGCGAGAGGGAATTCAAACCAAATCACGAGACCAGAGCGTATGCTGAGGATAACCGCAATCATATAGTAAAAAACCTACTTTTGTACAAAACTTGACATGGGTGCTCAAGTAAAAATACTAGAAGTTGGATAGATTTCACTTCTCCTCGGTATCAATCTCATTCCCTCGATCGATCGAGCATCAGATCGACCCAGTATTAAACACCTTTTTTAGATCCTCCATTTAGTTAATCTCAGCTCTATACTTTATATTCGGCTTCAGGTTTTTTTCTAAAACTTGACAGAACAAAGACAATGATGAATGAATTAATAGACACATCTATAGTTGTCAAAAGATAGAAGGTCATACACATCTTAAAAACAGACAATCCAAATGAAAAGAAAGACATTATATTGTGGATCTTAACATAATTACAAGATATGCATGCATATCAACATCATGTTCAGCCCACCTTCAGAGTGTGTATCGGCCATGCCATGACAATAATGCAAGTAGAAGAAGAAGAAGAAGAAGAAGAAGAGACACCTTAACTTATAGTCACAGCTGACCAATTGTCATATGGGAAAACTACACTTTGACCCTCTCAATTATGACTCTTTTGTCATATTATCCCTTGAACTATTATATTTTTTATATTACACCCTCAACTATGTGATTAATTTAACATTGCTCCCATTATTAACATTCGTTGCATAGTTAATGGATAGTTGTATTTTGCCCTCCGAACTATGTCATTTTTTTTACTTTACTCCAACATGTCGACAATTTCTATCCAAAGAGATAACGGACATTTGCGATTGGGGTTGTGTGAAATAATTCAAGTAATTGAGGAGATAATGTGAAAAATTTAATAATTTATGGGAAAAAGTGAAACCGAGTTCATAATTTAGGGGTCACAGTTTAATTTACCCTTGTTTTATTTGGCAACTATAGCACGATGTCGGTCCACTTGAAACAGTGTACCCTCCATTCACATGCATCCTGGGGAAAGGGGCAACATACTGAAGGGTCTCATTGAGAGACTAATTTCATTCATTGAAAATCCATGCATGAAGGAGCCAACCAATATATCTGGATCACCTCGTAGCACCATAATCTGCAAAAAATCCGATAATAAGGTTGGGTAGCAAAAGGAGAGCTGGAACCAAACCTTAGTGATCCTACCTTGGAAGCTGAAACCACACATTTTCACAAAAACAACTCGAAACATTGATGGAAACATCTCAAAACTTTCCAAAAACCTTAAAACTTCTCGAAATATTGAAATTTTGATTCAATAGCTGTTTATTTTCGGTCTCATTGAAAACGAAAATGTAAACGAAAATTTGATCCTTAGGTTTAGCACAAGCAAAAGAAAAAAGAAAAAAAAAAAGACACTTATTTTAGCTTTAGTTTCTTTTTCTGTATTTGTAGAACGCAAGAGGGCATTAAGGATGTGAACCATGAAATTAGGGCAGAACCAGCATAAGTAAAATTTATTCCAACCTGAGGAGAAAAGGACGAAATTATGAGATGAACTTCTTTCTCATTCCTACAGGATTAAGGTTATATCTAGCATTACTGTTTATGAGATAGTTCCACCAAGATTAAAAAATAAAATATAATACAACATATGAGTTTTTTGTCACAGCAGGATCTGAAAAGATTAAGTGTACCTAGTCTTATCCCGCATGTGGAGACATTGTTTATCCGGAGAATACATATTGCAATAGAGAAAACTTATTGCTAAACCAATAACATTTGGGACAATTAGAATACCATATTAATAAAAAAAATAAAATAGCACTCTTTTAGTGCAATGAGATGCGAAATAGAATAGATTGAATTCTTATTCTCATTAAACAATAGATATTTTACTGCTAAGGTATGAGGTGAGGTGGCTTGAGAAGCATTCTCTCTCATTTTCTTTTTTATTTAGAATTTTCAATTATTTAATTATCACTTAACCAATTATGTCCTAACACATGTCTCATGTAACTACTCCGCTGGCCCCACCAATTAACTACACTCATTCAATTTTTTTACAAAAATGAGCAACCAATTTAATTTTTTTAGAAACATAGTTTGACCACCATTACTTTACATAATTATGTTATCACCCTAATTTTTTTTTATAATAATTTTCTATCCAACTTTTTAAATGGTATGATAACAATAGAAAAAAAAAAAAGAAACAAGGGAAAGTTGGACGGGAAGGAGAGAAGGAGATGTATGCAATGCACGGGGCCAACGCTTGTTTCACTTGTAT